CCTCATTTGTATTCGAATTCCTTCCGAGGTAAAATGTTACACATTTCATGCTATTCAAACAAAGTCAAAACAAAGCCTCCAAATAAGCACTTCTGAAATGTACCTAGTCATCTGAGTAATTAGACATTTTCCTAGTTCCAAATGTACTGAGAATCTATTGTCAGCTCCCAATGAATGCACYAGCACTTATCCTAACCAACAAGATCTCTCTCCTCAATGTTAGCATACCCACAGAATAGAAGGTTAAGATACATTTAAATTAATATCTCTCCCTACTTCAATTCATCAGTGTTTTTAATTATATACCATCACCTGATCATAATTATTACTCTAGCAAGTTGTTCACCTTTCTCTGAGGATATGATGCACGTTTTTCAAGCCAGGTCAGAACATGCTCTCACTGGCAGAGAGAAGTTCCCATTCCCAGTGCAGGCATGCATCCTTCACCCCAAGGTGCAAAGAGTTTCACTTCTAAGTGAATTTGTGGCAAACCCTCACGGAGAAGAGTCACCTGTGGACTTGACACAGCTCACAAGCCCCTTAACACTTCGGTAGTAGAGGGAATTACCAAGTAGGGGTGCAAACTTGCAGATGGCTACAGTAGCTCCATGCCCCAGCAGTCCTCACTGCATCCCTCYTGGTCACACATCTGCGGTGCTGTCACTTTTACATGCTCACAGAGCCCTCTGCACTGCAACTCATTAGCCTACAGGAAGCAGACAGCAAGATAGGTCAGTGGAAGAAGATGGGAGCTGGCAGGGAGAGGAGCACATAGCCTGGGGCACAAGCAAACTGTTAGGATCCACTCAGCTGCTGTGAATCCGAAATCTCACCCCCAGCAGTTTCCATTGCCCCTGGGAATGTCCGTACCAGGGCTGGTGTGAATGTCCGAGTGCTGCACAGCCATGCCACAGCACTGAGCAGTCACATCCCTGCACCACCAGCCTCCTGGGAGTCCAGGGGATGAGTGTGGATTCCTCTCACGTTACCTCACCCAGCAGGCAAGCTACAGAGGTGAGCAACACATGAAACGCTCAACCAGTGCCCAGTCACAAGCCCAGATCTCCAGCACTGTCTGTTCACAGGTCTGTTCCACAGGCTTCTTTCATACCCCCAAGGGACACTGCATCACACCTGTTCCACAKCCAGTCTGGTCTCAATCCACTGAATTTCACTTTACAGTTCAAAGCTTAGCAGGAACCTTTACAAGTTTGTGACAATTAGGGTAGTGAGTAGCCTGAAGCAAAACCTACTCCCAATGGGAACACTGGCTATTGCCTTCTCTTGCTCCAGCAGACCCGTCCAACAAAACTTTCCCCCCCAGACCACTCTTCCTCTGGACAACCTCCCCATGATGCTGTTTTCCCATAAGGCTCCTTCAAGATGGGACAGCATTCTGCCATTCASACCCACAGATTCATCAAAAGACTGGACAGTAAAAAACTCAACACCAAAATCCACAGAAYAATTCTTACTTCCACAATCTCAGTGTGAGAATAATGAGGGAAAGGTGTTGATTCTCTCACTGCCATGCAGCAAGAAGATCACTCTCAGTGTTTACAGGTGGTAGGGAGAACTTTATGTAATGCAACCTTCCTCAAAGGAAAGTCTTTCAGYGCACAGAAGAAAGAAACAGCAGGARAAGGTAGGCATCTCTCCCTTCTGGTATGCAGTGGATACTCCCAGATAGTGAGACTTTCTGAGTCACTTTTCTGGGATGACTAAAAGAAAGTAGTTGCATTTCACAAGTACTATGGTCAAAGCTCCCAGGAGCTACATGTGCTGAAGAACAAATCAGAAAATCATTTCTGCAGATGGCAAAAGAGTAAAGGAGGTCAGAATAAATGCAAAATACCCCATCTCATGTTTCATGTCAAGCACACGACTATGGAACAATACCATAGCTCTTCATYATTATTCTTCATTAAGTTTAGACACAACCTTTTCACACCAGGAAACTCCATGGACGCACCAAGGCAGCCTTCCAGATTTTGCTGACACCCCACCCAAGCTGAATGGACTTGCAGTAAATCACCCACCAGAGTGTGTTGAGGAGCAGTGCTTTTGAGATCTCCCTCCCGCAGCCCAGMGCTCAGCCATCATCTGGGAAGCACACACACATCCACACGAGGCCCTCCACCTCAACACCCACCCACACAATTCACAGCAATGTAAGCACAAACCACTCCAGGGACGGCTTCCACCCAGCCCCTCCTGCTCCAGCTTACTGTAGGACAAACACCTTGGAAACTGGGTAAAATTTATTGAACCAAAAAGAAAAGAAAAGGAAGCACCATTCCCTCCCCAAACACATGCTCTTCTTCATGAATCTTCTGACTCTGTGCTGAGTTCAAACCTTCTCTGCTRGGAAAGCTTGTTCTGCCAACAGAWACCCAGAAGGGAACTTGTAACTGGTGGAAATCTCAGAAGAGACCAAGGCAGCTCCAGTGTTTGACCACAAACCGAGGCCCACTCTCCTCCACATCCACCCCTCACGTCCCAACAGACATCTGCTTGAACAACAAGCTCATTTGGGATATAGTTTCCCACGCAGAAGTTTTCATTCCTGTATCTCTCACTTTAAGATAAAGAATCTTAAATGTCATTATGYCATAGTGAAAATCATTACAATATGAACTTAAAATACAGAGGCAGTGGCATAACTTAAAGGTTTTCAAATTCCTGCCTTCTGTGACAGAAAGGTCTAATGCAAAGCCTGTAATGAAATGCAAAGCATGGTGATAAATGCTTAGAAACAGCAGCAGTGACTGGGGACTGCTGCAGAATTTGGTGCTCACCCAGCACACACCTCACCACGCCATCAGACCAATCCCTCTGCAGAACCTGCAACCTCAGCTGCTCCTGACCTCACCTGGGTTAACAAAACCCCCCTGGCACCCACAGCAACAACTGCAGACCTGCCCCATGCTGCAACATGAACACAGCCCTTGCACACRTGCTCAGCCTATGGGGAGCACTCCATGTCCAGCAGAAGACTCCACATCTGTGGAAAGAGAGGCTCCTTTGGTTGGCAGCAGCAGATGCAGCAGCCGAATGTCTGCTTGTCCCCTGGACTCTAGAGAAAAAGGGGACCCAGCATCAGCAAGCAAAGGTGATGGCGACAACAGGGCTGAGAGCAGAGGGACCCACTGCTACACTCAAGCTCCCTCAACCAAAAGCTTTGCTCCTAGAAGGTCCTAAATGTGCCAGTTCTTCCATCAATGCCTCAAGGCAGGGAATCTGTGCGTTTTCATCATCCCCTGCTTCATGGCTTGCTTCAGCAACTCCACTTTCCCCCTCAAACCCCAGTTCTGTCCCACCTGCCCATATATCCCCATGTGCTTTGCATTCCCCAGATTCCTCCAGTCACCTCAACCAGCTGCCTCCAGTCTGCTGCCCACCACAATTCCAGCACCCAGGACCCACCCTAATTGCCATCCTGTGCACCCCACCCCCTACCACATCAAGGCAGGGTCAGTGTCCTTACACTGCATTTTCTGGTCATCTACAGCTTTGCAAACAAGCAGGCTATGTTGTGAGCTTGTTTGCAGATCTGCAAGTATCAGCATAAATGATAATGCAGAACGAAAAGTCCTTGACAGCGACGGACATTTGGGCTTTTATTTGTTTAACAGCCACTGTTGTGAGGCTGGATGAGATGGAAACCCAACTGCCTTCCTGTAGTAAAGGGTGAAYGGAGAGAATTGTTTTCAGAGCAGTGCTATGAGAAGCCTCCGTGTTCTCTGCACAGCAGGGACAATGCCAATCGCACTGGAACCACAGAATGGTTTGGGTTGGAAGGGACCTTAAAGATCATTTAAGTCCAAACCCCTGCCAGGAGCAGGGACACTTCCTTGWGTAGTGCAAAAATAGAAAAGCACCGACTGCTCCTCCAACTATTCCCATCCAGGCAAAAACTTCCACAGCGAAGGGGACTCCTTAAAGAGGGGCACATTCCCCTGGGTGCAGTCCCTTTCCAAGATCTCCTGTGGCAGGAAAGAAAGGCTGAACGAGACACAAGCTGAGAAAGTTGCTGCTCGAGGCACTGCTAGCACAGATGAGCTGCTGTAAACCAAGACTATCTGCAATTGCAGGACTCAGGTTTGCTTCTACCTCTCTACGTTGCTGCTATCTAGTCAAACCACTACGACTGTGGGCAGTGTTTATGCCGAGATAGTTACTCGTCCCTGCAATACAGGGGCATGGCCACCAAGTCCAACCTGCTATCTGGATGGCRCAGAAGACAGAGGGATTTGGGGGGTTTGTAAAGCTTGCAGAGCTTTACGTTCCTGCCAGGTCAGCCTGATGACTCTGTTCCCGTTCTGCTCGCTTAAAACGAAACAAAAAAAAAGCAGAAAAGAGAAGCGCTTCAAAGATTTGTCTCCGGCACGTTTAAATCCTCATAGGCATTCTGTTTTGAGCCAGGCTTGAAAAGCGCAAAATTTATAAAAACGAAGCCCTCACATGCGGGCTAAAAACCTCGCAGGCAAGGACCACGGGCGCGTGTTTACACACAGCAGAGGCGGGGAAACAGAGACGGGGACAGGGTGAAAAACCAGCGCTGGAGAAAGCGATGCCCACCCCGAGCCCGTCCCTGCGGGACATTTCCCAGGGAAAGGCGCCTTTAACAGAACACGCCCGTGGGATGGCGAGGCTCCGGGGGAGCCCCAAACCCTGCCACMCGCACACATCCCTCGCTAGGGGTTTCGGGGCGGGGTGGGGGGACACTCACGGTGAAGGTGACCCCCTCACACATCTGACACAGACGGCAGCAGCTCCCCACCTTCTTTAGGGTCCGGGGTCTCTGCACCTCCACCCATCCCAAAACCCATTGAAGGGGCAGGAGGAGCCCGCCCGTCACTGCGGTAGTGGTGAGGAGTGGGAAGGGACCTCGATATTGCGGGAAGGACCGCACAGGTGATGGGAAAGTGGACTGAGGAAGSAGCCGCGAAGCCCCGGGGAGGAAGGGGGTGGGGTCCGCGCCCTCGCCTGCCCGTTACCTGGGGACGCAGCTKGGGCTGGAACCGTCGATCTCCCAGGTGGCGAAGAGGTTCATAGGCACGGGCCGCCCCAGGGCCCCGGTGCCGCCGGGGAAGCTGAGGCGGCCCCGCTCCG